GAACTTAAGTGGATACATACCTATAAACACCATTTTTCACCTTTCGAGTATTGTTATTCTATTATTATTATTGGTTCCAACCCCTTTCGCATAATATATGCGTTTAGTCGAATAATAATAATATAAATAAAAATAAGTCAATAAAAAAAATATTAAGTTGGTGATAACCGGTCATTCACGCGCTAGTTCCTACTACACCCATATTATAAATTATTCTGATGCAAAGAGTATATTGATTACATTTGACTTATATTGAATATCAAATGATTAAAAAATAAAACACCGGAATCGACTTCAAAATTAAAAGTTCTAAACGCGTGTTCAGTAATAAAAATTAGGTACATAACGTTAATTCCATAATACACAGAACATGTTATACTGTCAATTTAATTTAAATTAGTTTAGATGACAACATTGTTTTCGAAAAACACAAAAATAATTGTCAACCTTCCAAAAGTAAAATTGATCTTTAATATTTGTCTTATACATTTAGGTAGCCATAGGTTTATAACGTATACGTGTACGAAGACACACGTATATATATATTATGAAAATTAATTAAATCTCAGCAAGATATAAATCCTTCAACTGACCTTCAAATAATTGCAATTCAAAAATTCGCCAAATCGTTTTCTGTATCATATAGTATATTATTCAACACGAAGGAAGTACATATACCTACGTAATATAGCATAAAAATATACATACAAGTCGTTATATTGTCTTAATTGTGTGTTTTATAAACGACTTACGGTGTGCAAACATAAACGGGTAATTAATCTTCTTATTGATTTTGTACTCTGTCCATGAGCAGGTTTATAATTTTGTTGCATATATATTCATATTCATATAAATTTGCTTGTGTGTCTGTGTGTACATTACCTATGCAAAAAAATCTAACGCAACACGAAAGTCCCACACATTGCATGCATCAATATGAAACAGTTATTATACTTATTATCATCGGTTCGGTAAATTATTATTTTGTTTCTTACCATTGCTCACTAGGCACTACCTACCTAAATATTATAATAATTAATAAGGTATATATATAATAATAATAACCATTTATATTATATATACCTAGGTACCGCCTATAATTGATATTTGTTTAATACTAATATGATAGTGAAACCAGCGAGCAAATATTAGTATAAAATGGCAGAGGACGAAAACCCGTGGAAAATTATATACAATACAAATATAATGTACATTATTTTGATTTACTCTACTTGAGTGGTAATTGGTCTGATGCAGATAGTCACTCAACCAGTACATGATGATAATTATAGAATAATAATAATAAGATGGTTGCCAAATCATATGCAATTAAATTATCAGTACATATCAGTACAGAACATTATATAGAATTGCATTTAATTCGAAGGAAATACCATTTTATTATTATCGATTTAACATTTAACGTGAAACATAAGAATAACTGATTAATATATATATATATTTTTCACTGTTTCTATGCATCAAATAATGAACCTTTTCACTCAAAATATAAAACTTAAAAAAAAATCGTTCTTAATATCAATAGGTTATATAGGTAGGTATATACGAGTATACTTTATGTACTTTTTAACGTTTAATATAACATCTTGGCACGAGATAATAATATAATATGAACGTAATATGTATATTTAGTACCTATACCTATAGCTATTATAGCTATATTATATACCTATATACGATTACAAAAAAAAAGAGTGATCCAAATGGTTTTATCAAGTTTGTAGTCACGCAATACACTGAGGAATTTTTCGTATACGAGTATAATATATATGTATATACATAGATGCACATTTTATGCTGGCACTCTGCTTGCCGTTTTTTTTATTATATCAAATCACTCATTCTAGCTGGAAGAGCTCCCTCGAAAATAAGTTTGGAAGTACTCAATGCCCCTCGAGAAGTCACTTATTATTTTTATGACGGGCCGCGTTTACCCTCACCGCTGCAGTCCCCAGTGGCGGAACTAGTGAGTTATAAACCACCGTTGCGTGGAACGTGGACTTTAAGTCGATATTATTGAACACGAACAGTAAGTTCCCGTATACCAATATATGTATATATATTATATACAAGTATACAACTATTGTACCTATATATTATACCATCAACACTCGAGGGACGAGTTGAAAAAATTACTTTTTCCCGCGTTTGAGTAGAGTTTGCGAATATAATATAATGTAACAGTATCGTAATAATAATTATTTGTAGGTTCCAGTAATACGTTACAATACGATGTATATTTAGGGTGTTTGCTGTCCCTATGAACACCTTTCTACTAGATTTAATCCTACATACCCACCTAATTCCTACATTTCAAAACGCACATGATTACTTGAAATTTACTGACTATTCATAATTTAAAATATTTATACAAATTATAACAATTTAAAGTATAACTGCCCCAACGAATACTAAAGAATACATCCACACCAAAGTAAATATTTGTCAGTAAATCAAGTAAGGAAATGTTCCAATATTAAATAAGTTTAAATTTAACTTTAATTAATATCCAACAGGATGTTCAAGACTTTCAGATAAGAAATTCTATGAAAAAAAGCATATTCTAGAATATAGTTGGTCAATAATTGGGCCGGTGTAATTGCGTGCATTTTAGGCGCAACGATGATACGCACGCAGTAGCTGCATTGAACAATGTGTTTAAAATGTTCAAATATTTGATGTCATACGCCTTGTGAGGCGATGCGGCGACCGCAACCAACACAACCGACTGTTTCCCAAAATTCTGTCACATGACTTTTGTGTACCGGAATATAGACCGAACCCTTTATATTCACAAATTACATGAACGATAGGTACATCTTTCAATTCGGCCAGTAAGATCGTACGCAAGAGTAGGATTTTTCAAACATTACATCAACCGTAAATTGCACTTACATGTTTATTATATATAGTAATATATTATATTGTAAAATTTAAATTTATTACACCTACATCACACATGACCGGATGTCCAGGTGTGTGTTCAACATTACATCATTGATTAAATAATAGGTATAGGTACTGTTATTATTTTTAACTATTTAGTACTATACTATTATTATTTGGTCCATGATTATGTGAACCTCGTGTGCATTGTCACCACTCGTCGGTTGTATGGTAAAATATTAGTTTTTGTTGTTGTTGTGTCTTGTGTGCATGTGAGTAAGTATTGTAGAAGTGCAGCATTATAATATTATAATAATATGAAGTAGTAAATTAAACGTAAACAAGGCATAGTGGACGAGATTTCGTTTGTGTGCGACACCTACTTACCTACCTATATCAAAACAAAATATATATATACGATTGTGTTTGTGTGTTTTTTTCTTATAAGTTACGATGGTCGTGTTTCATATAAATATACAATATAATATCATCTGATGGAATAGAAAACAAAACATCATAAAGTATTTTTGTGTGGTAAAAAAATAGGGATACACATGCACCATATTATACACTGTATACTTACATCATATGGACACAATATGTAATGATAATTTAAGCACACCATATTAATATTAGCTTTCCAAACAATGCATAATATTTTATGAAGTATTACACGACGCGTGCAACAACAGCAACAATAACTATAACACGAAATTGTGTGTAAGTGAGTATGCGTGTGTGTGCACTAATGCCTATACATAATAGTGGGCTCGCTACACGTTTATAACGCGGACAATGGGTCCGACGGTTATGAATCATTTACTATTTAGTAGAAGTATATAGGGAAAAAAGAGTACCTACCTATAACTTAATAATAAATTATATTAAATAATAAAAAAATCGTTAACGTAAACGCGTAAGTGCATATAATATCTAATATAATGTAACCTAACTATATATTATACCTAAGGTACACATAGAAGTGAAAAACGTATGTATTTTACAAATTAATTGATATATTTATGTAATGTCATCGAGTCTCCCGTGTGAGATTAGTAATTACTCATAATCTGTGAACTATAAGTGTTAGGAAATGTTGTCGCAGAAATTCAGTGAAGAGATTTTAAACCCACGAGGTTCAAGCATAGACAAGGCAACCACCGACCATACGGTTTACGGTACTCGTGGCAAGCGGGTAAAGAAGATGATATTTTATCATTTTCGTTAAACAATCTCATAGAATTGTTATGTCACAGTCGTTTTCTACGAATTCACACAGTGTTTTCACGTACATTTTTGTCAACCGTTTCCATTTTTCACGTCCACGAGTGCCTACGTAAGTATAAATGTTTTGAAGATCGGCAATAATTCCTCGAATTTAGTGATGAGCTAACAGTTGGACTGTTGGAGTGTTAGGTCCACTGCTTTTACGTACATTATATACCTATCCCTACTATAACAGTATAGGTTTTGCCTAACTTTACAGCATGAAGTGTTGTTCAGTGGTAACGAGTCTGGAGAACTTCCGACTTGACCATACCCTGTTGTGTGCCAGTTTCTCGAGAATTACGAGCCTTAGGGTGGTGCATCTAAGGTAAGATGTACACAGTCACCACCTATAACGTTTTTTCTCGTGGGAAAAGACAATTTCGTGTTTTCATATACAGTTCATGTAGTTCTATAACCAAATTATTAAAAAAATTGATTGTAATTTACATAGTATGAACGTTTCAAAATAGGTTAGGAAAATCTCAGAAGACGTTGGTCAAATAATCGCGAAACATAATTTTAGTGTATCATATAAATATCAAATATGAAATGGGTACTAATATACATCAAACCGCTTACTAAATCGCCGGTTCGTTGATAAGCAGGCACCGTGTATATGATACGTATCTAGTGTAATCTAACTTCTAAGTGAGTGTGCCTACTACAGACATGCCTAATTCTCAAGTTTGAGGGGCAGTCGATCTGATCGTTTTAGGTATTCTGACCGGAGTGTTGGGTAGGATTGTCTCGCAAGTGTGTGTCTCCATATTGCGCATGCGTAAAACTATGATAGTCATTATTATAAAAATATAATATTATATTACACTTGCCGTACCGCAGTCGTGTAGGTTTGTAAAGTTGGCCAGCTGCGGGAACGGTGGCAAGACAGTGGTGGCGGCGGTGGTGACATGATGGTGCGGCATGTAGTGGAACGGCGGCAGTGGGGCTGACGGCCCGGGGAATATGCTGGACGCGGCGGCGGCGGCCGCAGTGGCCACGGCGAACGACTGCTGTTGGATAAGGTACGCGTACAACTCCGCGTATCCGTTGCTGGCGCCACCATTATGGTGATGGTGGGCATTGTGGAGGAACTGCTGCTGGTGATGGTCGGCTAGGTGATGCGGTTGTCCCGGTAGCAGACTCACCGGCGGCGGATACCGGCGATGAGGCCTTTCGGTCCGCGACGGCGGCGGTGGCGAAGGCGGTGACGACGACCGTGGGACATCTGGTGGCCCGGCGTCATCGTCGCCGTCGTCTCGGTCGTGGTGATGATGGTCGTCGTCGGACGAGTGACGTCTACAAGCACCGCCCGGGGCGATGATGCTCTCGATGGTGAATGGTTTGGGTTTGTGCTGCCGCTGCAAGTGGTTGGCCATTGATGTGGCGGTCGCGACGGCCGCGGTGGTGCCGCCGATGGCGGTGTGGATCGACGGCGGTGACAACGACTGTTCGGTGCCTATCGGCGACGTCGCTCCGTCCGCTGACATAACAATATTATTGTTCCGGTAGGGCGGAAGTGGCAGGGGCATCTGAAGCCCGACTGGCAATGGGCGCAGGGGCGGCGAATCGGTATCAAAGTCAGCGGCGGCGGCGGATGACGACGAAGGCCTGCCGAAAGTAGCCTCCAACAACGCCCTGTCGGCGGCCGGCAATTTGAACCTCTTGCGGCGCCGCAGAAAAGATCCGTTCTCGAACATGTCTAGGGCGTGCGGGTGCAAAGTCCAGTACGCCCCTTTACCCGGCTGGTTCGGTCGCCGGGGAATTTTCATGAAACAGTCGTTGAATGACAGATTGTGCCTCAACGAGTTCTGCCACCTGAAACGTGTAGTGTATTACAGAAAACGTATATATAGAATATATTATAGTTTGTGTATGTTTCTAATATTATTATGTGTGAAATGTTTTTATATTAGTTATTAGTAATAAATATTGGCATGAATTTTAGTGATCTAATATGAATTTTAAAAAATGGGTCTACTGTACAGTAGGTGCAGAGTATACCTATCGTTAATGATTGGATCAATTTTTATAATGATATTAAAGTTTCAAAAATGTTCGAATTTTTTTCACCCGTTTATTTTAAAAAGCACTGAGAATTTCTCTAATTTTGATCCACCAATGTACAATAACTAGATCCATTTTACTATTAGAAGCTTCCTTTGAAATTGATGCAATAGGAGCTACTTTTCTACCAAAAAAAGTTTTTTCAGTCAAAAACATTTTTTTTTTATAACACCGCTGTTATATGTCAATTTATCCTTCATTTCGTTCAGTATCAAAAGTACACAACAACGCTCAAAAATACGACTTAATAGTTACATTTGAATATTTCTTGATGTATTCGAATAATATTTTGTAGTTTGAAAGCATAGTTTTAGATTTAAAAGTACCTAATTAAAATGTTCGCCCTGCGGCTATGTGTATATTAGTATATATAGTATATACATACGTCATACATATAAATATATACATGTATATGATGGTATTAAATGTATTATTTATACACTGAATCATGTAATAATTAATCATCCCATCTGTAACTCTAACTATATAATGAGTGAAACTATATAATATGTTATGTTAAATGTATGTATTGCAAACATATTGCACGAACAAAACTTTTTCCACCCCCAGGAAGTCATAACGCCCACGGGAATATGATTTTGTGATTGTACAATATACAATAGGGATAAAATATAAATAAATATTTTTTAGCAATATAGATTTGCATGTTATTGATTTCGATCACTGCGGCTTAATCTGTTTTAATTTAATTTACGTGTTTGTGATGCATTATAAGACCTTATAGCCTATAGGTATAACTTTTAGAAGTGTTCGATAGGTATATTTAGAAAAAATTGTTTTTGTATTTTATTACTAGTAAGAGTACGCATAAGTCCGATGAAATATTATCTCATATCTGAGATTTAATATATATCCTATATTGACAAAAGTGTACTTGCACGCCAATGAGTAAATTTTATAATTATTTACAGTTTACTCGTTCTAGTAAACCAACCAGTGTTCTGCAGTGTACATTTTTTTTAAATAAATTAAAAACACATCGGTTACCGATTAAGATTTTTTCCGTATTAAATCTTATTTATAATTTTTTGTACTGTATACCCATCGTTTATTAGCACGGTATTTAATATTTATAGTTTATACTTATATATTATACCATCTCAACAGTCAACAGAATTAAAATGTATATATGTTTTGCAGTAGTTATACAATCATCCACTATAATCCGTTTATCCAATGAGGGTAGAAAAGTCTGAATATAATATAATAATGTAATATAATTTCGTGTATCGTATTAAAATTATACTTAATTTTAATGTTGGAACCGTTAACCAAAATAATTTGGTAATTATAAAGCAGGAGTCAAGAGTATAATAGTATAGAGTAACTTAAATATATATAAAGGTTATTACGCGACACCTGATCGTATACATAAATCGTAGGTTTCAGTTCTTACTTCTTATACTACACCAAATACTTTAGAAATATGCATGTGAATATGCAATTACATTAAGGTACCAAAAATATTCCTGAAAAAGTCAAAAGTTCTGCAGTTACAATTATTATAGAAAATAATATGGATAAAGTATGTTTTTAAAATATAAACTTACTGCAATGTACGATATTAATAATTTATATTGTTAAAAATGATTAAATTTTTCGACTTTAAACCTTTTTTTTTGTGAAATATTACGAAGTATGCAAAATACGCAGTTCAACTTTATACATTTAATTCCACCATTTCACGTAATAATTCAAATAAAAAATTGTTATTAAAACGTAAAATTATGTAATTGGGTACATAAGTTCATATATAATATTATAAGCAAATATTGATTATTAAATGCAACTGGCCTATGTAGGTACTAGTTATATTTGAAGGACAGATTGATTTTTTTTATTGTAATCGTATTGTATATCACGTGAAATACTTGCGGTAAAATAAAATATACATAAGAGTTATTAGTACTACTTACCTATTACAAATAAAAGATCAGGACAAATATTGATATATGTATTATTTATTCTTGAACTTTATACCTATATTATAGTACCTACCTACTTTATAATGTTCAAGAAAAAAAATAATAAGTCTAATAATATCGAATAGGTATACGGATCAACGATTTTTTCGCCATCATCATTTTTTCCTAACCTGCAAATTGCATTCATATTCGATAAATGGGCGTAATAGATGAATAACGTAAAAATATAATTTGACCTTATACATTTTTTGCACCGATCAGTTCAATATATATTAGTTCTTTCTTTATCAGAAATGCAGTGCATGCGTGCACTAATTTTATTTTATTTAATCGAGATTAAATGCAATTTATTTCATCATTATATGTAGCCATATATAGATAGTTACTACGTATTATGTGCATTTATCTATATCTTCTTATGTATATAATAATGTAATTTGTATTTATGTAAGTAATAGAGATACACCTCCTGTCTAGAATGTCGCCTGCTCACCTTTTGGCCGAAAATAAAGAAGGAGCTCCAGCAGAAAGTCACGATGGCAGCAGTCATCAAGAGGCTGGAGTGGGAGGTAACATTGCGCGAGTGAGCTGTGGAACCACAGATGGTATGGACGCGGAGGTTGATTCCGGATATCCGGAGGTGAGTGAATCAGCCAAGGCTCGAAAATATGACATTTCGCAAGGTTCAAGTACTGTTGGGACGTAGAGACTTCCGGTTCTACCTGAGAAGAAGGAGGAGGCCGACTGATCCCCGATGAAACCACTGAGAGGAGACGGAGGATTCAGTGGAACATACGCTGTTCCACTGTCCATACTGGCCAGAGATGGAGCAGTGCTTCGGTCCGCGACTTAGAACCGAGGCTGTCCCTGATATCATTCTAGGGCCTGAGCAGGAGCTCCTCCCAGATGGTACGTCGAAAAGACGGCAGATTGAGGCGTCGGTGGAAAAGCAGAGGGTAGCGTTTGACAGGGTGGCAGAGACGATTCTTGGGCAGAAAGAGGCTGCAGAGCGCATCCGGCAGGCAAGAGATGGACGAATAGGGTAACAATTGTAGTGTTATTCTGTTTGCGGAAGGCCTTATATTTAGGGTAGTTAGACCCCCCACCCCTTTGTACAACTAATATTGAGATATTAAGTTGGTGAAAAACTCTACGGGACCGAGTGGTAGTATTTTGCTAAACAGTTCCCACCAGTTTCCATTATATTCCTATATATATTTCTACATGCGAAATGCATTTACATAATCATTATACTTGTCACAATATCAGATAGGTCTCTTATGTATTTTCAAAATTAATGTCAATATTGAGAATACATATTTTGATTGTTTTATGAAAAAAAAATATAATATGTTACAGTCTGTAGAATATGATATACCTACATTAATTTGAACTGAGAGCTTGATAAATAATAATATTTTGAAATCTATGATTGGGATACGCCTAAAATATGCAACATTCGTCGATCTAAGTCATATTAAGGGGTGTAGGTAGATATAAATATACTATTATACTTTATAGGTACTTAACAAAATAAACTCATTATTATGTGTATGACTTATTCCCACTAATAAATAATATATTATACAATACAATTAATATGCTATTGTGTCTTATTAAGAAAAAAACATCGGTTATTACTTATTTGAAATAATTTATAAAAAAAATATTCAAATATTCGAATATCATCATATTCAAATAGGTACTATAGGCGCGTTACATATTGTTTGAGTGTAAGACGCGCCAAATCCTTACATATTCCCCCAATAATATGAGTAATGAAAATGATATGTAAATATAATTACATGCATTTATTTGCAGTATGACGTCTAAAATAAATTTTGTGTTTAGAAATTTAGAATGGCAAATGGCAATATATTATCTATTAATGACTTGAACTAAATTTACAACTCATTTATTACTAATGAAATTCATTGATAATACCTTGACGGGAAAACATGAAATTCACAGCCCTAGCTGGTAATAAATAGGTGTAAAAATAATAAAACTGGTTGACAGATTGACCTATTATTTAGTTTCTTTTTGGATTTCTACTGAAAAAATATTTTAAAACTCTGTACATAGGTATAATACTTTAATTCATACGGTACCTATACAGTTCTATAAAATATAGCTACTTCATATATATATATAAATTTTCCTATACCTATTATTTAACTAAAACTTATAAATTATTAAAATATAGACTAATTTATTATTATTCAAGGCCTGCATTAAGACAATGGCGCATTATATATTTTTCGCTTAATATCATTAAGTATATTTAATACGGCTATACCCATATAACATGATGTATTTTTCAAAGTTGATAAGACTATGGTCATGTATGTATATATAAGGAATGAAAACATAACTGATTTAATATATCATTTATATGTAACGCTAAAACAGTATAATATTTGCATTGATAAAACCTTGCAAAACTGCAGATTAGGCTGGGATAAATATATATTAGTGAAATCGGTGGATTTTATATTGCATTAATAATTAGTATAATCTATACTAAAGTAATTTTTTTTTCTATTAAAACTATTTTATAATCTATTAAATAAATTATTCAAACAAACTGATATCTACATAACTTTTTATAATTAATAAAAATCATTTTAATATAAATAATATAATGTAATTAATATGCATAAAAACAAAACATACATATAGAAGGTAGGTACATATTATAATATGTTATGTATTTAAAAATTTGTTTTCCAAATAATATTGGACCTACGTGTTTATATATCAGTAGCTGATACCGTTTATTCATCCACCATTGCGTCCGCTTTT